TTGAGGGAGAGGGAGAGGAAGAGGGAGGGGGAGGGGGAGAGCAGCACTGGTCAAACGCATCCTTCACGAGGTTGCATCGATCGGAGATACATGAGAGGGAAGGAAAGCAGCAAGTGAAGGAAGCCGAGGACGAGGACGAGGACGAGGACGAGGACGAGGACGAGGACGAGGACGAGGACGAGGACGAGGACGAGGACGAGGACGAGGACGAGGAGCAGGGGGAGGACTAAGATGACGAGTAGGAGAGGGAGGAGAAAGGAGGAAAGCAAGAGGTGGAGGGAGGTAACATTCACCTTGATCAGTGTAGGTGAAGCAGCTCTGATCGCGTTGCAGCCACCCGTACGATCCCTTGGCGTCCGACTCCTGCTCATCCCATCACCAGCGGCGCTCAAGGCAGGGGTCGATACCTCCTCCCGAACGCTCTTGTCGCATTCAACGATTCTTGGATGATAGGGCAGGTCAAGCTCGAGCGTCCAGCCCTAAGGGAGGTCAGACGAATCCGACAGAAGGGGAGGGGAGCGAAGGCCGTGAAGATGCTGTGGTGGGAATGGGACAGGAGATGGAGAATGAGGAGGAGATGGAGATGGAGAAGATGGAGGAGATGGAGATGGAGATGGAGATGGAGATGGAGATGAAGATGGAGGGGCAGGAGAAGGAGGAGAAGGAGGAGAAGGGGAAGGGGAAGGGGAAGGAGAAGGAGTTGGAGAAAGAAAGAGGGGGAAGGGTTCATAGAGCAGGGAAGGTGGCAGAAAGGGGGAGGACGAGGAAAACGACAACGGCAGGGGAGGGGAGGAGGTGAGCGGGACAGGGTCACGGACAGGAGGAGAAGGAGCTGAAGGGGAAGGAGGAGGAGGAGGAGGAGCTAGAGGAGGAGGAGCTAGAGGAGGAGGAGCTAGAGGAGGAGGAGCTAGAGGAGGAGGAGCTAGAGGAGGAGCTGGGGGGAAAGATGCTAAATCACCTCTTCTATCATGATGGCCTTGACATTCTCGTGAATGTCGAGGCTGCAACGGCACTGAGCAGAGGCGAGAAGGCAGCAGCGACGGGAATGGGAGGGGGAGGGGGAGACAGAGGAGGAGGAGAGGAGTGGAGACGAAGAGATGGCAACCTGTGAGTTCCTACATGCAACGCTTATCTACTTGCGTATCATCGATAGAGACTGCGAGCGGGTCTCGAAAAGATCTCCATATCCGCATCCTGCTATCCGCACAACATCATACAACTCTTCCTCCTTAATCTCCTACTTCATCTCCTCATTACTCCTCCTCTCCCTCCACCACCCGTCGAGCCACTTTCTTCTCCCTGCTGAAATATCGAATCTCCTGCTCCTGCCCCTGCTCCTGCTCCTGCTCCTGCTCCTGCTCCTGCCCCTGCTCCTGCTCCTGCTCCTGCTCCTGCTCCTGCCCATGCTCCTGATCCTGCTCCTGCCCCTGCTCCTGCCCCTGCTCCTGCTCCTGCTCCTGCTCACACCTGAATGTCGAAGTCGAGGTAGTCGACATGATCGACGAGGTCGAGGATGGCGACGAGCGATTTCATCTCAGGGTCGCCTGAGGAGTATTGCGAGTCTGAAACTTTTCCTGCCCATCTTGCGTCAGACATGTCAGATGAAGAAAGTTAAGAAAGTTATTGCGAAGTCACAAGAAACACATGTGTCTGTGAGGTGACAAGTCGTGTTGTTGATTTCACGACAGTGGCACGACTTCGGGAGCTGCAGCACAAACTACAGCTGGAAAGGATAGAACAATACGGAGCAGGAATCAAAACAACAGCCAGCTCAATCACAAACACATTTATGATATTCCTCATCACTTCAAGTCAGTTCAAGATTTGCATGATCAGGTATCATCAACATATATCATCAGCTCATCTCAGTTGACGTAAGTTCATATCATTTCATATCAGTTAACATAAGTTCATATCATTTCATATCAGTTGACATAAGTTCATATCAGTTCATATCAGTTGACATAAGTTCATATCAATTCATATCAGTTCGCTTCAGTCCTCATGTTTTTCTGCACCTTCCCCTGCTCTGTCTGTCGATGTCACGTAAGCGTGTAGGAGGGTGTAGTTCCACACGTTGTTGGCTTGCACGTGCTAAAACCCGTCAGTAGCGGAAGCCACAAAGAGCAGGAGAGGGCGAGGACACGATCAGAGCCGAAGGAAGAGGACAAGGAGGAGAACGGAAATACGGAAAGGAGACTGACAACGGTCCAGAGGACAAGGAAGAGGAGGAGGAGGAGGAGGAGGAGGAGGAGGAGGAGGAGGATGCCGCAAGCTCTAGGGCACCTGCTCGAGCTGTCGGAAGCGATGGAGGGAGGACTCAACCGCAATCATCTGCTGCGACCCCTCGGGGTACAGCCTCCTCGCTGCTGCGCATGCTCGCACAGCCCAAGTGCCGTAGCTCGAGCCCTGCAAGCTGAAGTGAGAGACAGAAGTACAAAGATGAGGAGGCTGAGAAGGAGCATGAGCACAAGCACGAGCACAATCAGCAGCAGCAGCAGCAGCAGCAGCAGCAGCACAGGAGTGGAGTTGGAGCAGCAGCAGCAGCAGCAGCAGCAGCAGCAGCAGCAGCAGCAGCAGCAGCAGCAGCAGCAGCAGCAGCAGCAGCAGCAGCAGCAGCAGCAGCAGCAGCAGCAGCAGCAGCAGCAGCAGCAGCAGCAGCAGCAGCAGCAGCAGCAGCAGCAGCAGCAGCAGCAGCAGCAGCAGCAGCAGCAGCAGCAGCAGCAGCAGCAGCAGCAGCAGCAGCAGCAGCAGCAGCAGCAGCAGCAGCAGCAGCAGCAGCAGCAGTAGTGGAGTTGGAGCAGCAAGGAAAAAGAAGGAGAAATAAGAACAACGTTAAAAGCGGCAAGGCAAGCCAGGAACAGATTGGACCAGCTCAACGACGACATAGTGCTGCCCCTTGCTACGGTAGACGCTCTTCAACATATCGACGTACTCCGGGTATTCGTCGTCCACAGGAGGAAGAAAACCCTGGTCGGAAAGTGTCACTTTTTACTCCTAATCTTCCTCCTCCTCCTCCTCCTCCTCCTCCTCCTACTACTACTACTACTACTACTACATCTCTACCTCCTCCCCTGCCTACTTCCTTAGGTTTCAGGAGGTGGAAAAGCGTTGGTGGGAGAAGATGTGGAGGACCAGAATGAGGACAAGGACAGGGACAAGGACGAGCACGTGCTGAGCACGAGCACGAGCACGAGAACTCACTGGGTACACAAGCTTGGCCTGCTCGTTAGCATCGGGCTTCATTCCCTCATGGTACTGCATGAGAGCAGTTACGGAGATCTCTGAAGGACTCGCATACCTCGCACTCCATCCTCCTGGACGGAACAAACATGTAGTACCCTCCTCCTGGTATGCAGTCCCATGCTGTTCGCGTCCTGACCCCCAGCCAGTCGAGAAGGTAGCCCTCCTCCCATCTCCCGACCCATCGACCTGAAGAGAACGAGGAGCAGGAGCAGGAGCAGGTAAGGTATCGTCTAGCAATCGGAGGGCAAACGAACCGAAACGATAAAGGATGTCGTGATGCATGTAGCGCTGGTCCGGGAGGAGAGGGTTCTCGAGGGCAGGGAGAAACTTCACTTCTGCTGTCTCCGACCAACAAACCTCTCGTCCACAATCGCAAGCCGTGAACCTTGCTTCGTCCCATGAGAGAACGGCCGCGACCTCCTGTTGACTGGGATGTCAACCAAGGATGTGGGATGGTGAGGACAGGTACCGAGCTCGCGTTCAGAAGCTCAACACGCAGCGTGTGAGCTCCAGTTGTGATCCCTCCGAGCTCAACGCCCGTGAGATTTGTGAGCGTCTGCATCAACGTCCCGTCCATGTATACGTTGACCAGCGAAACTCGTGGTGAGGCGTAACGGATGTTGATGGGGCCCTCTCCCAGGGAGACGGTGGAGTGTTTGATGGGACGTAAGATTTGAATGCATGGCGAGTGAGTTGGGGACATGAATTCATCGCTGTGCGTCCTTCCCGCCATGAGGATCAGCAACAAGCAGCGACATGGAGGGAAGCGTTTCATCGCTTCCAGTGTCCGCATGAGGTGTCCAAGGAGGATGGAACGATCCGGAATTTGGACAAGCTCCTCCCTCTCGGTCTTTCACTTCCTACTGTTCATCGTCTTCCTCCTCTTCCTGCTCCTCTTCCTGCTCCTCCTCCTCCTCCTCCTCCTCCTACTTGTGCATTGTGTCCTCCCCGACACTTTGATAATGACTACCCCCACCATGCCTCCTACTACCCCCTTTTTCTGAGGTATTGTACCCCCTACCTATCCTGATCCTCCTTTTGTCCCACCACTACCCCTATTCCATCAATCCCCAGCTGTAACCACCACCCTCCTATCTACCCCTTACTACCCACCCTATATAGCTGCTTCACCCCCACCCCACGTGGCGTCCCGCGGCACTGGCGATGGTGGAAGAAGGCATGAGAGCGGCAGGAGGAGCGGCAGGAGGAGGAGGAGGAGGAGGAGGAGGACTGTCATCGGGGTCAGCAGCAGGGAGAGCGGCAGCTGTAGCAGGAGCAGCAGGAGGGCGGGTAGCCGGCTTCCCTGTTAGCTGCTTTCTGGACGCAGAGTTCGATGCCCAGGAGTTCGTTGGGAAGGCGAGGAGGTCGGTAGGGCTAGAGGAACTGCTGAGCGAGCTCCAGAGCCACTTGCTGCGGCTCAGGGAGGGTCTGGTGGATGCGATCAACGAGGACTATGCCGCGTTCGTCGGCATGGCTTCGAGCTTGAAGGGGCTTGACGGCCTGCTGTCGCGGGTGAGGGCGCCAGTCGAGTCGCTGAGAACAGAGATGATGGAGCTGCGAGAGTCTACAGCAGGTGTGCTCTTGCAGCTGGAGGGGAAGCTAGAGGAGAGGAGCTCCATCCTGTCAGCCCAGCATCGACTGGAGTTGTTGTTAGACATTGAGATGGGGCTGTCTCGGATGGAGGCGCTGCTGATGAGAGACATTGCTGAGGCCTCAGAGTACAACGAGCAGGAGGAGAGAGACGATGGTGACGCCCGAGAGCTGTCCATCAGCGAGCTCATGCGGGGAGCGAACGTGCTCGAGCGAGTTTCGAACGAGACGGCCAGGTTACGAGGGCAGGTGCTCCGGTTAGAAGAGAGCATGGACAAGAAGGTAGGACACGAGAGTGATGATATGCGCTCTGAAGACTCTGTGTAGGACTTGTTGAAGCGACTGGACCAGCTGCAGGATCAACTACTGAAGCGTCTCAACTCAATCTTCGGGGCTGCTATCTCCTATGACACGATCTCCGAGACATATGGCCGGGAGGGGAAGAAGGGAGGACAGGGGTCCTCTCCCTTTGAAGGAAGAGAGGGAGTGATCGAGACCTGCATGAGATCGTATGTGATCGCTGAGAAGGTTGACGCCTGTCAGAGCGTCATCCGCTCTGACTGCATGAGACCCTTCATCTCGGCTACCGTGACGGTACAGAAGCTTGAGGTGGAGTGTGTTTGACGAGAAAGAAGATGCATTGAACGAGATGTCTGAAGCAGATGGGGAGGAGTGGGTCATGCGATGGTCTCGAGGGCATGTACAGGTGAGTGAGGTGAGTTATCTCCCACAACCGCATGACGGCTTTGATCTGCAGTGAGCTGCTAAGATTCGTTGATGAATGGTAAGTCTCCCTTGGTTAGAGGAGAAGTTTCTGACGAGAAATCAAGGTGTCTGCCACTCTCCAAGCACGCAGCATCCGCTCTTGGGCTTCGAACGAACGAGGATGGGAAGCTGGTGACTGACGAGACTAGCTTGGAGGGGGAAGAGGATATGGTTGGCGAGGGCAGTGAGATCGTCGGGTGGTCGGGCGCCGCTATAGCCTCCAGAAGCTTCATCCTCGGCAACTGCTTCTTTGCTGAGCTCTCTTCCCTCCTTCTCAGTGTGGGAGGGCGACGATTGACACAGGTAGAGTGAGGATTCTTGTGTTTCAACAGAGCGTTTGACCATCAATGTAGTACCTGGACGATGTTTTTGGGAGGAAGTACCACAGCACCATGAAGTTTCTCGAAGATCTGGAGATGAGATGCCTCAATAGGGAGGAGGCAGAAGCTCTCCGCAACCACGTCTCCCTCCAAGACTTCCTGCAGAAGTGGGAGCTCCCCCTGCGAGCCTTCGTACAGTTGCGCCAGCAGGAGGTTTCACAGAACCTCTCTGCCCTTCTCTTGACTCCCTCGCAACTTTCTGAGGTCTCAAGTTTGATCTCATGATGAGTGTTTGATCAGCTGCGAGCAGGCGATCCGAGAGAGGGAGCGACAAGCACAGGCGGCGGCAGCGGCAGAGGATACGGCCACGAAAGACAACAAGGAGGGCAAGGAGAGCAAAGAAGACGCTGCTCAAGCTCAAGATGTTCAAGAGTTCTCAGCTGAAAGGCCGCCCTTGCCCACTTACAACGAGGGCGACAGCTCATGCTCGAACCGTTTCCATCTCAAGGTTCTCGGTCCTGATTCTGCTTCCTTCTCCTCACTCGAACGTCTTAGGGCACGTCAAGTGTGTGGGAATCATTGACGATCATATGGAAAGATCCCATCCCCTCTATCTCTCACAGGTTCATCTTCCCTCTCTGATTCTTATCCCCTCCTACTCCCTGTCCTCGTCTGCCTTCCTCTCCGGACTTCCTCCTTCCTTTTTGCAGGACTCTTCTCCTCCCCCGTTTCCTGTTTTTCCTCCCCCCTACTCCTCCTCTTTCACCTTCTCTCGACACCCTGACACGTCTCCAACAGACTCCTTCAACTCTCTCTCATGATTATCTGGAAATTTTCGGGCTGGGCGGACGAATGGGCAGCTCACATGCCAGCTCGGATCTCAACAACTGAGGGTGAGTGGTCCCATGGATCGTCTCCTTCTCAACTCTGTCGGACGCAGAGCGGAGCGGCTCTTTCCCCTCTGGATCGAACAAGAGAGACAAAGACCTCAAGTTTGCAGCTGCGCTGTGAGAAATGCTGCCTTGCACCTGACATTCATTGAGCTTCTGACGTGGCAAGAACAGGTGCAGCGATTGTGAGCTTCTGCAGCTGGAGATGAGGCGACAAGTGATAGGATGGGCAAGGGAGGCCGTCCTGGCTACCAGGAACGAAGTCCCCGAGCTCAGCGAGATGTTGACCAAGACCCTTGAACCTTGCGAAGGTGAGGAACTGAGATTTACTCCCTCCCTCATCTCACGCGCCTGCCATCTCCCGCAGACAAGATTTCTCAGCTCATGGAGAACCTCTTGGTATGCCTCTCTTGACCCCCTACAACCTCCTGCTGATGTCCGGCAGGGCACGATCACACAAAATCTCACGACCAAGTGCTGCGAGGGACTCGTGGGAGGATCAGTCCGTGCCCTCACCTCGCAGTACAGGATGACGAACAAGCCTGCTCCAAAGACTGCAAGGTGACGTGTTCTATCACCGTCAACACAGCCAACACCAACTCGATCCTAATCCTTGCCATCGTTGACTCTATCACAATCACCATCTTCTCCTTCAACTTACATCCTCGCAGTCTCTATGTCAAGGGTATCACACACCCCCTCAAAATGGCAATGTCGACAGCCGGCGATCGCTCGAGCCATGGCTTCCTCCTGTTCCTGTCCGAGGCCCATCGCGTCAAGGTGACTACTTGAACTCTCTGAGCGTGCGCTTCTCACTCGATCAAGGCTGTCAACGACATCATCACTGCTGTGTCAGCCAAGTATCAAGAGCTTGTTCTAGAGCTGTTCGCCAACGTGAAGAAGCTCGGACAGGCTAGTTTCCGTGCTCATCGCCTGCTGCTCCTGACTTCTCCCGCAGACACTGAGGAAGCTTCAGAAGGGATCGGCTGATGGACTGAGCGGGGGAGGGATGAGCGACGATGACAAGATTTACCTCCAAGTGAGTTGCACTGAGTTTTCTCCTCCTCCCTACCTCCCTCCCCTCCCTCCCTCCCTCCCTCCCTCCCTCCCTCAGTGCCTTCCTCTATGTCCGCCCCTCCCTCCCTCCCTCCCTCCCTCCCTCTCTCGTCCTCCTCCCCTGTCGCTCTCATACCCGCGAGTGGTCTCTGCGAACTGCACAACAGACAACCCAAGACGGTAAATCATGATGGTGGGGTACTCAATTTTTGTTATATACCGGTACTAAGTCCATCCAAATTGGTGGTGGGGTGGTGAAATATTAACAAAAGGAGGGTGGTAGGGTGGACGAGGGTTCACTGTGGAAACTGACGGTTGGCAGTTAGCATTGGGTCCACCCCCACCCCCTACACCCTCAGAATTAAACTTATGGCTGATCCTGACCCCTTCCAAATCGGTGTCTATTGGAAATATACCCCAATATAAAACATCAATTAAGAGGTCTTGGATAGGTAGGGTCTATTACCCAACCCCCCAAAATTATCCACCCTACCTCTATAGCAAGACTTGTCTCCCTCCTTCCTCCTCTCTACCCTCCCCTCCTGACTTGCAGGCACACGCACTTGACCCCCCCCCTCCCTCCCTCCTCCCTTCCTCCCTCTCTCCCTCCCTCCCTCCCCTCTCTCTCCTCTCTCTCCTCTTCCCTCTGCTCGAGGGTTCGCCTCGTTCCTCTCCCTCTCTTCCTCTATCTTCACCCTGTGGTCTTGACTACTCGAGCTTCCTTCCCTCTTCCTAACTGCCGTAAGAGTTCTCAGTCCTGATTTTTCCACTCGCTACAAATATGACAACTTTCAACAACAAGAACACCGCTACAGAAGCGATGGTCAACGACTATATGATGGTGCATATCAAGGGAGAAGAAGTCTTCAAGCTTCATCCGCAGACGGGGTCTCCTTTCGACCGCACCCTCCCTCTTCGAGAAACCGATTGGCGGTACAACCGTGCCGGTGGGCATGGCCCGCCAAAACCCATCGCTCGTCCAGCCCCAGCCCTTGACGACGAGCCGAGGTACAAGAACGCAACAGGAGAGTACTTCTATCCTCGAGGCAAGCAGGGTCCAACCATCTTCCAACGAGCGCGGCAGCCCTGCCACCCGGACGCTCCTGGTGGCGCTTTCAACTCCTTGGCAAAGCCCCTAGCGACGGCGAAGCCCGTGGAAAAACCCAGGGCAGGGGCGCTGACGATGCGCTCGAACCCTCCCAACACAGAGTTCCGTCGCTTCTATGAGAGGGGCGACCTGCCGATCGCCGTGGAGCACAGCGGGGCTGGGAATCGAATCCAGTGGAAAGTGGACATTGAGAAGTTGGATTACCATCACTACCTTCCGATCTTCGTTGACGGTGAGTGTTCTAGTGTCAGGAGTTTTGCTTCCTCCTCACTGAAACTGATCCCTGCTGTCGCCCATCGTGCAGGCCTTCGGGAGAAAGAGGAGCCCTACCGCTTCCTTGCAATCCAGGGGACCTTCGATATGTTGGAACACGGGGGAGGAAAGATCCTGCCTGTCATCCCCCAGCTCATCATTCCCTTCAAGACGGTCAAGATAGATCCTCCTTCCTGCAGCTGTCTGACATGTGCTCTAGGCGCTCAACACAAGGGACCCCGCAGTGATCGTCGTCGTCCTCAAGGTCCTCCAGCAGCTCGTGATCTCGGGCGACATGATAGGAGAGGCCCTGGTCCCCTACTACCGGCAGCTCCTGCCGATCTTCAACCTGTTCAAAAACAACAATGTTAACGTGGGTGATAAGATTGTCTACAATCAGAGAAAGCGCGTGAACCTGGGCGACCTGATTCAGGTTGGTTGCGTTGCGTGCTGCTTGTGTTTCCTGAAATTGACGTCGCCGTGCAGGAGACGTTGGAGCTGTTTGAAGCGAACGGAGGGGAAGACGCGTTTATCAACATCAAGTACATGGTGCCCACCTACGAGAGTTGTGTGCTAAACTGAGTCAACGTGCGAGTTATATTAAACTGCTGCTCAGTACACCTCGAAAAGGAGGGAAGGGGTGGACGAAGACCGAGAGGATGGGAAGGAGGAGGAGGATGAAGACCCGAGAGGATGGGAAGGAGGACCAGGAGAGAACTGAAGGAGGACCAGGAGGCCCCGGTAGGCCGGGAGGAAACTGTGCGTTGCAACGGCCCAGCCTTAGTCGTCGGGGAGATTTCTGTGAATTATTGAGGCGGGCTGGGTTTTCCCCCGCAATGCCGCATCCGCCCGCTGCCATGCTGATGCTGATGCTGATGCTCTTCGGCCTACTCGCTGCCCCCGTGTCCCTGTCTTCCTCTCCTCTCCTCTCCTCTTCTTTTTCCTCTTCCCTCCTCTCCCCCTCCTCTCCTCCCTCCTCTCCTCCATCATCGTCTTCCTCCTTGTACCATCCCCACACCCTCCTGCCCGTTTCTCGTTCTCCTCTCCGCACCCATCCGCTCCTTGCTCTGCGAGGAGGGGGCATATCCCTACAGACCTGGACCAGTCTGGATGCTGTGGACAAGTTCTGTGCCAACAAGGAGCTCAACGACGTGCTCCTGGCTCAGTCAGAGTCGAACACTCCGGATACGATCCCCCTCACCATCGAATCCGGCGCAGATGTCAACTGCAGGTGCTGCATGCTCGCCCTCCATCTCTCCTCACGCCTTGCAGGGGGTTGGAATGTGGACGCCCTTGCACTTCGCAACGCGCTATGGGCGATCAGAGGCCGTCAGCATGTATCCTCCTCCTCCTCCTCCTCCTCCTCCTTTTCCTCCACGTCCGCCTCCCTCCGCCTCCCTCCTCCTCCTCCTCCCCCCCCCCCCCCTTTTTTCCTTCACTCGTGAGCTCTCACTTGTTCCTTCCAGTCTTGCACAGCACAAGGCGAACCTGGAGTTGAGGTCGAAGACGCACTTCACTCCCCTTCACCATGCCGCCATGCGCGGACACACAGAAACAGTCAGGGTCTTAGCAGAGCACGGGGCTGATCTCTTCGCGCGGACGGCTGAGGGGTTCACTCCGATGGACTGGGCAGAGAGGAACGGGCACATTGACACCATGCTCCTACTCCATGATCTCATGGCAAATCAGTGAGTAGTCGAGTTCAACATTCCTCCTCCTCCTCCACATCATCATCATCATCATCATCATCATCATCATCATCATCATCATCATCATCATCATCATCATCATCATCATCATCATCATCATCATCATCATCATCATCATCATCATCGTGCTACATTTACATCTACTTCTTCTCCTGCTCGTTCTCCCCCACCTTCAATATCTCCTCCTCTCCTCCTCCCCCTCATTGCAACAACCTTCATCATGTAATTGTTCTGTCTCTTGTCCTGACTGTCTACAAAAGCACGAATGTTCCATACACCTATGGAAAAGAGAGAAGGTTTGCAGCAAACGGAACTCTGCTAGAGGAGAAACCGATCCGAGACCCTATCACGTGCTTTCTTTTTCTTGTCTTGTCTTGTCTTGTCTTGTCTTGTCTTGTCTTGTGCTGTCTTCTCTTCTCTTCTCTTCTCTTCTCTTCTCTTCTCTTCTCTTCTCTTCTCTTCTCTTCTCTTCTCTTCTCTTCTTTTCTCTTGCTACCTCATGGTCTTTGGACTCGATCCATTCTGCTATGCATTTTACTCATTTGTATTTGTTGTTTCTCCATCTCATTGCAATTATCGTTGCAGAGAATACAAGCTGCTGCGTAGGCTCAATCAAGATCCATGGCGGATGTAAGTGGAGGGAGGGAGGTGGAAAAAACAGAAATAGAGCAAATCGATCTGAGGGATAGGAGAGAAGTAACAAAATTAAGATGGAAGTAAGTCAAAGAAAGGAAACATGGCCGAGGAGGGAGGAAGAGCTGGAGCTGGAGCTGGAGCTGGAGCTGGAGCTGGAGCTGGAGCTGGGAGAGCATGCTACTTTATCAGTTTGTGATTGTTTTGGCAGGTTCAGCCGATTCGAATGGGAGGGAAGAGTGATGCCTCCCATCGATCCACCGCCATGAGGTGAAGAAAGCAAGATGCTCGATAATTATGAGCGAGGGAGAAGGAGCGGAATGAAAGGAAGGGAGCAGGATTGAGGAGAAGTGGCGACAGGAAGGAAGAGGAAAGGGTGAGAGACGAGACTGAGGAGAGAAAGTAGAGAGGGAGGACGGCAGGGGAGGAGATGCGAGAAGAGGGGAGGAGGAATGGAGGGAAGGATAGGAAGAGGAGAGCAGAGGAGGGGAAGCGGTGGGGAGGAGGGAGGAAGGAGTTGAAGGGGAGTTGAGGAAAGGGCTGCCAAAGTGATGGCACGGTGAGAAAGAGGGAAGAGAAGGGGAGGAAAAAGGGAAGAGGAGGAGGAGAGGAGAGGAGAGGAGAGGAGAGGAGGGGAGAGGAGAGGAGAGGAGAGGAGAGGAGAGGAGAGGAGAGGAGAGGAGAGGAGAGGAGAGGAGAGGCAAGATCGTGGGTGCCATACGAATATCCTGCAGATTGATCTTTTATTCTCATCTCATGCATTGATTCCTCAGATCGCATTGTCGAGACGGGTGTACAGATTCCTTCATCACTTCCCTGCGAGGACGTTCAGACTCGTTGTGTACAGTACATGTCATTCCATCCCCAACCTCAGCAAGCACGTTGCGAAGCTTCCGGGAGGGAGCGAGAAAGTCAACATGAGCGCTGTCTTTGCCTTCTTCTTCTCCCTCCTCCCCGAGACCCTCGCTCTAGACGTGAAACTCCCTCCTGCCTCGTCGTCCTCAACCTGCCCGCACTCTCACCCACCCGAACTCCAACACGTCGCTCTCACGTCAAGATCGCTCTCAGTGCGGTAGAAGAGTATCCTTGAGGAGACGCCCACGGGCCTTACAATCAAGTGACGGAACCTGAACACGTCCCTTCACCTTCCCGAGCAGACCGTCGGCCAACCTCACAGGCAGGGCAGCCTCGACTTGAGCCAGGGATGCCCCCGAGTTGCGAAGATCGCCGGCTCGATCCCTTCCTGCTGCAGTATCTGCTTCTGAACGGAGACGTCACGGCTTGCTGTGGGTGCGGCTCCTCCCTCCGGCTCCACTTCTACTTCATCATCATCTCAGCCCTCCTTCAATGTCTTCCTGGCACTTTTCTCTTTCTATTTCATCCCCTCCCCTCGAGCCTTGCAACTTCTCTCCTCCTCCTGCTCCTCCTCTTTATCATCATCATCATCTCATCATCATCATCATCATCATCATCATCATCATCATCATCATCATCATCATCATCATCCCCCCTCCTTCCTCTTCACCTCACCATCTGCTCTCCTGCCTTGTTTTTAGGGAGAGGAAAGTCGTTGAGCCCGTAGCCAGGAAGCGGCAGCACCTACGAGCAAGGGAAAAGAGGACGAGGACGAGGACGAGGACGAGGACGAGGACGAGGACGAGGACGAGGACGAGGACGAGGACGAGGACGAGGACGAGGACGAGGGTGAAGGGAAGAAGAACGCCAACTAAGAGAAAGGTACGTTGGGGGGGGGGGGAGGGGGGGCTGGCGAAGTGGAAGCAGAAGCAACGTACAAGAAGGAGGAGCAGGAGGAGGACGAGGAGCACGAGGATACCACATCGCGAATGGAGAATTTCTTGCTCTTCGCATCCTCCCGCGAGACGATCTGGTAGCTGGTGATCCTCTCCTCCGGTCCTGCAGAGAAATCAGGAGGAAGAGGAGGAAGGCGGAGCAGGACGACCGAGGGCGGACCCATCGGTAGAGACGATGTCTCCTTCAACGACCCGTTTACACTTGAACGGGTCAAGTCAGCAGACAAGAACGTGCAAATAAACATGTTGATACTCCAAACTTCTCCACACGGCAGGAGATAAACTTGTTCCACAACGAGCTCCAGTATGCTGGCAAGGTCGTTGAGCTGGCTGGGGTAACTCTTCCGCACATCCTCACCCAGCATGTACATGCTCTTGTGCGGCATTGACCGCAGGGATGCCTCCATGCTCCTTCCCTCGCTCAGAGATCTGTGCAATGTCAGAAGCAAGTGGAGGAGGTGGAGGAGGAGAAGGTGAGGGCAGAAAACAGGAGGAGGAAGGGAGGAAGGGAAGAAGGGAGGAAGGGAGGAGGAGAAAGAGGGAGAACGAGAGGGAGGGAGAAGGACAGGCAGGCAGGCAGGCAGGCAGGCAGGCAGGCAGGAGACTTGACTTCATCAGAGAAAGTTCCCCGAAGCAATGTGTTGGAAGCTTTGTAGTTGCGATTCCTTGGGGAAACAGTCAGAAGTGAGAACTGAAAGTCAGTGCCAAAAATCACTAGAGATCTCTCGCAATCTGTTCGCGTCGAATGACCTTGTAGACATAATCTGGATAAAGAAGGTCAGGCAAGAGGACTAAAACATTAAAAATATTGTGAATATGGAAAGAAAAGAGGAAGATTAAATACAGCACAGCACAGCACAGCACAGCACAGCACAGCACAGCACAGCACAGCACAGCACAGCACAGCACAGCACAGCACAGCACAGCACAGCACAGCACAGCACAGCACAGCACAGCACAGCACAGCACAGCACAGCACAGCACAGCACAGCACAGCACAGCACAGCACAGCACATGAATGATTGACATCACGGACCTTCTTATATTCGTTTGAAAAGGTTTCTTTGGCCTTTCGCTCCTTCTCATCGCCAGCAAACTCTGTGCTCATCACAAGTTGGATGGCGTCAGACCAGCGCTCCTGCAGATCGATGAGAACTAGGCGAGGAGGACGAGGACGAGGACGAGGACGAGGCCGAGGACGAGGACGAGGACGAGGACGAAGACGAGGACGAGGACGAGGACAAGGACGAGGACGAGGACGAGGACGAGGACGAGGACAAGGACAAGGACAAGGACAAGGACGAGGACGAGGACGAGGACGAGGACAAGGACGAGGACAAGGACGAGGACAAGGACGAGGACGAGGACGAGGACGAGGACGAGGACGAGGACGAGGACGAGGAAGAGCTGATTGCCTGCAGCAGCGCCTTCCCCACCATGATCGTCGGCATTCCAGATCTCATAGCAAGGCCAAATCTCTGAGATGAACAGTGACTGCAGGAAAACACAATGAGGTAGGCCGACCTGGTGCCCGTAGTAGTTCAAGAACCCTCGTTTCCTCACGGTCTTGATCGCTTTCTCGACCCTCTTCTCCTTGTATGTATTGAGATCTCGAACAAGTATCTGTTGACAAAGATCTCAGGCAGGCAGGACAAAGTTTTCCCGTAGACACAAGGAGGGGTGGAAGAGGATAAAAACAGGTCAAGGGATTGATTCAAGACAAACGAGGCCCTTCCCGAAAGTGATTTCCTCCGCTCACTCCGGCTCGTAGAGGCGCCTCGACCCACCTTCAAGGACCGGACAAGTCAGGAGGGAGGTAAGAACTTCACATGAAATTCACTCAAAGTGTCCAAGTTTCATTCTTGGAAGCCAAGAAGAAATCTGTCGCAAGGTGAAATCGTGCCATGGCTCTTTCTTCATCCCTCACGTTTCTCAACCTCTCCAAGCAGGGATCCGATATACCTTCGGCATCCAGTACAAGCTGCCCACACATAACGATCAAAGGATTGCAGACGGATCGCAAACCATTACCTCTTGACAGGTTATTGCACTCTTGTCTTTGATCCCAGCGAAGCTAAAGAGATTCCGATTGATCCCCAACCACGTCGACAGCCTGTTTGTTTGTACAACCATCATCATAGTTAACTTGTATGCCATCAATCTGCCATACCTTCCTACTGCAGATATGGTGTCGTATCCTATTTTTGCTAGGATCATCCGTAGATATCGCTGGCCTTTCAATCTTTCACAGTCGTCAGACTTCCAAAACCTGTTCTCGCCACTTTCACCGTTCTGGTATTTTTCCATCATCTTTCAACGTGATGATTTTCTGATCATCGCCTCGAATCTCCAAAACCTTACATACTGTGTAAGAAGGTACAGCCAAGGTTTCAATACAGCAAATACTCTGAAATCAGACCACCGCGACTTGATTGTTCCTCCGACACCTTCGAACACATGAAATCTCCATCAGAAGAAGAAATGAAGAAGAAGAAGAAATGAAGACCTTTGCGTCTTTTCTTAACATATTCCGTGATTCCAATATCTTTATCGCTGAACCTTTCATTCAAATCCCACCTGTCATCGTCATCATATCAGCTCAATATCCAGCAATCGAGAACAAGGACAAGGACTAAGACTGGGAGGGTGAGGGTACCCGAGGACGAGATCTTTCTTTTCGTCCCATCTTCGCACCCATCAGAATCGCTCTGTGCACAGCAAGCGAAGAGCCTGGACTTGCCTCTGTGCCGCTGCCACGTCCAAAGACGTCAACGAGCTGAGGCATGCTGAAGTTTCCCTGCCCCGTCTGTCAGAGGGAGGAGGTCGTGCGAGCGCGTGGATATACCGCGATCCCTCCGAAGAAATCGAGAAATGCATGAAGATGGACATGCAGATCAGAGAGATCTTCACATTCGATGACCGCATTCAAGATGTTGATGAAGAGAATTCAGATGAAGCTGCAGAGAGGATCGAAGAACAAGAATCACTACGATAGGTCGAGAAAAGGGGGAGGAAGGAGGAGGGTGGAGGAGGTGGTGGAGATGAGAGGAGGAGAGGAGGAGAGGATGGGGGAGAAGAGAAGAGGTGGAGATGAGGAGAAGATGAGGAGAAGAAAAAGGGGAAGATGAGGAGAACAGGAGCAGCAGGATCAGCAGGAGCAGCAGGAGCAGCAGGAGAGCAGGAGCAGTGAAGGGACTCAACTCGATAAGTTTGAAACTTCTGGGAAACTTTGAAACTCCGAAACTTCCAACTATGGCCGCAAGTTTGTACCGGGTGTCACCGGGCTCATCCGAAGTCACTGAGTGAAGCGGCAAGATCTTTTTGGTTCCAAAGTTCGTGCCGGCATGATCAATGGAATCAGTAAGCCTCGGAGTGCGATCATGACTTGCAAGTTTACAATAATAAAGTTTCTATTAACATTCATACCTGGCCGGTCCGAAGTTCCCAACTGATTTACGAGTCAGAACTAGCCTCCAACTGATCGATCTTGACCTTGATAGGACCAAACATTGCTTGCACATCTGCTGGGGCCGAAGATCTGAATGGCCTTGGATTGTATGCCAACTGCTTGAAGGGAAGCAAATTTTCTTCGCGAACCCCAAGGAACTTCGCGTGATCAGCTGCATGTTCATACAAGCTCTTGGTGGTCACAAGGCGCAATTGAGGCCAAGTCGGCTCATTCTTTGCTCTCAACCAGCTGTTTATGTAGTTGGTCAAGCCAGTCGTGTCCTGCCGCAGAATTCGCATCTCTGCCCACAAGTCAGCGAGTCTGGTGCGCCGGTGGTAAGGCGGCTTCTGCGCATACTCCCGCCATTTGTTGATGTGATCAACGCTGAAACGGCGGTAGACACTCTCGATGGAGTGGAGCGGATCCCCCAGGATCACCAAAGCTTTGGATGCGCATGCAAACCTTCCGAACAGATAGATCCCATCGCTGTCATGCCGGAAATGATCTGCCGGTCTGTGCTTGAAACCATCCACGTCTTCTGGAGAATTCATCAAGACATGATTCTTTTGTAGCAACTCCATGAATGCGCTAGAGCCTACTCCTCCTTGCGAGTTGACCAAGACTTGACGACACCTGCTGAATCTACTGTTCGCTCTGTTCCTGAACACATCATTCTTGCTTACAAAACCTTGACTGGAAGTTGTCGTGATGTGAGGATTTTGCTTGGCCATCAGCGTTGTGACATTTTTCAGAGATATTTGGTTTTGTGACACCACCGAAACAGTTGCGTTTTGACGAATTGGTTGTATTGGCAGTACGATCTTTGACACCAAAATTGAAGTACTATTCCCAACCGGCGTCGTCTTGCTAACTGTCCTGTTCCGGTTCCAAGAAACAATTTTGGATGAATTTGGATATTCTGCAAATGCATTGATAAGGAAAGTTGCCGTCTGGCTCCGGAAATCAGAAATCAGTTTGCTAAAGTTATATCCAGCTCGTCCCACGCTTTGCCCTACAGCCGTGTTTTCGTCATAAAAATCATAAGAAGATTTTGTGAAAGATGACAGCAATTGATCACTGAAAAGAAAGATAATGATGGAAAGTGTAGTGATTGAACATGATCGCCTGAAACCAATGCGAGCAGTCAGACTTGCTGTCTCAAGAAGGGGTGAGATGCAGAATCCGAGCATGGGCGGCAACAAGCTCACGTGCCCGGGCAGCTATGGCAGCCAGGGAGGAGCGTATGGTTCCTGTCTCGTTCTCATGCTCATAGCAGCGCCTGCTAACCTCACCCTCTTTCCCTTCCCCTCGCATCCTCCCCCCTACATCTCTCCCCGGCCATCACCTCGCCGTCTCGGTCGCAGACGTCATGGTGCGGTCTGATGCATCTGTTGCCGGAGGCTCACTACTAGGCTTTGGGTTCTCCCACCCCCTGCTTCCCCCCTTCCGCCACCCCACCCACCCTCCGCTTACCGGCCTCTTCGCACAAGATCAGATAATCTCGTACCCCTGCCATCACCCTTGCCCCCCCGCCCCCCCCACCCGGTGACCCCCCCACCCTCCGAGGCTCACTGCAACCCCCAGCCTGGCACTACACCACTCAGCGCCGCCACACCCCCTTTAAATTCGATACCGCGGTGACCAACCCCCCCCTGTCAGAGTCAGCACCCTCTTACAAGGCCCGTCAGGGACTGACCCGGGTCACGGGGCCCAGCCTGACTGACTCTCCCCGGGCGGCCCCGGGGAGGTGAGCCTCGGGCCTCCCCGGGCCCGGTGTAACAGACCCGGCCTCACCTCCCCGGGCCCGGTGTAACAGACCCGGCCGGGCGTGGCACTCAGTCAATCCTGGGCGGGTGTGGTGAGGAGGCTGCAAAAAGGGTTAGAGAGTGAGGAAGCGCGGGAAGGAGACGAGGAGTAGGAGGAGAAGAAGGTAGCATCTTCTTGGTGGAAGTTGACCGGTATCTACCTACAGAACAGCTCAGGGGAGGGGCGAGGAGATCAGATAGAGGCGGAGTGCGAACGTGACGGTCTGAATATACAGGAGCGAAGCTGCGAGTATGAGCAGGAATGTTGATTACAGCAGATGGGACAACATTGAAGTCAGCAGCGACGATGATCGCTGCGACGATCGGCCATTCTTTCCCGTCGAGGGGGAACCTGCCGAGGTACAGATTGGAGATAGGGTCATGCTACAAAGCTTGCAAAGAAGTGTTTCTTACAATGGGCACATGGGGTATGTGGAGGATATTGTTGGGAAGGGGCTGCTCTGTGTGAGGACTGATGGAGGAAAGCGGATCAAAGTGAAGCTGGAGAACGTGGCGCTGGTGCAAACTCGAGAAGGTTTCATGTGATGTTGTGCATGCTCGCGGGGTAACCCTTGACCCAGAGTTGGAAGCTCAAGGAGCCGCCACCAATGCTCCCAATGGGATGCATGCCAATCATGAAGGCCCCGCAGTCCAAAGTGGTTTTCTCAACTCGAACAGGTCCGGTCTGAACATATCATCGCAACCTCCCCATTCTATGCCTGACTATCATGGTGATCAGGCCTTTCAGCGGATTCGAGTTTCCGACCTTCCCTGAATTTCCGGGGCAGAGTGGGCAAACGGTAAATGTTCGAGTGACAAGCAATGAAGAAATTCTTGAAGCAATCGAAGCTGTGAAGAGCGCTTTCAAATGGCCCAATTGGCATCGTGACTTCGGGAATTTCTTTGTTGTTGGGACGGCATGCCTTGCGGTCCATACTCTCATGAAACGAGGATGGCCTATATGTGCGGATAAGGACAGGATGAGAGAAATGATCGTTCATCTATCCAAGAAACTGGACCTCGATCTCATGTGCATGAAGCATCAGACAGACTTCACCTATGGATCCGCCAGCCAAGATGGCTTGTCATCGGACGAAATCTCTTCTTCAGGGTTGGCTGCGTTGAGTCGACTGGAGGATGAAACGACCGAGCTCAGACTTGAAATATGGTTGCTTGACGTCTTGAAGTTTGGGAACCCGCTGCAAGTTGCAATGAGAACGTTCCGCGTTCCTCCTCCCAACCGTCCGGATCCTTGGATTCGCCCTGAGCAGATGGCCCTTGGCTGGGTGATGGCGGCTGGTCAAACCTCCGTGTTGAACACGCCCTCACCGAACACTGATAGCACGCAGACGGGAAGGCCGAACAATCAGCGGGACGGCGGCAACGATCATGACCTGTCTGGAGACTCAGCTGGAGGGGCACAACGACAAGATGCTGCGGGGCCAGGTGGCAGTTCAGGTTCTCAGCCATCCCAGCCGACCAATTCGTCATCGCAGACTTCGAATCAAACCCCCCAGACTTCGAATCAACCTCCCCAGACTTCAAATCCAAGCCCCCAGACTTCAAATCCAAGCCCTCAGGCTTCAAATCAACGCCCTCAGGCTTCAAATCAACGCCCTCAGGCTTCAAATCAACGCCCTCAGGCTTCAAATCAATTTCCCCAGGCTTCCAATCAATCACCCTGGACTTCAAACACGCAGAATTCGATCCCTCCGCAACCCTTTGTCTTCACGGTACATTATTTTCATCTGATCTGCTTCTCGCACACGTTATTTCCATTATGAAGGGATGATTCACTGATCCACACTGACAATTTCCCTGGAAAATCAGGGAGCATCAAGTAATGAAGGGCAAAACCAAGCACAATTTCAAATGAGAACTGGATCGAATACTGGATTCACTCCTGTCAACTTCGGTGATTTATTCGATTATGCTCTACCATAGAATGATCGCATGCGTCAGGACATGGTCCGGGTGACCTGAATGCATCAGAACTCAATACCGTCTATTCTGTTTTGGCTTCATTGGTTATTTGCAGTCATTTTGTCGTCCTCCCGAATTTTGAAGTTTTCGTGTCTCAGGCCACAAACAGTCTCCTTCCATCAAACCCAACAGAAGCCATCCGACAGCTTGGACATGCCTTGAGCAATCAGATCTTCACCGCTGGTTTTCACCGATGTCACTTGCAGTCGCACTAACCGTCTGATTGACCAGCCAAACATGGGGATGTTTCAGTGCTTCAAAACATCTTCAATCTCCCCCCAAAAGTTCTCGCTGCTGCTCGTATCCATGCAGCCATCCACATGCCTACGACGTTGATACAGGTGTTTGACTCCTCAGTCAGGAGCAAAATATTCTTAACCATGAAGCAGCCGCTGCATCTGGCTTCGTTCCATGGTCATATGGGAGTTTGCAGATTTCTTTTGGGCATGTTGAATGTGAGATCGATACAATCTTCTTGTTGTTTCGATTTTGGTGCTCAGTTGAACTTGCGCTCGTTCTAATGTTCAAATTCCTCCTTTACAGACTGCATCGGTGAACGTCCCCGCTGCAGATCATGAGACTCCTCTTCACAAGGCATCCTATTCTTTACATTTCATTCTTACAGTGACCGTGGTGATCAGGCCGCGTACAATGCTCACGACTCCGTTGTTCGAGTTCTGCTAGCAGCAGGTCATCCTGGCACTGAAATTTGCTGGACTTGCTGAGATTCTCACTTCTGCCTTCCACAGGAGCGGATCCTAATTCTACAACCCCTTTGAACAATGGAATTACAAGGTGAGGTGCGGGGTCGACTTGCTATGATTGCTCAGCTCTCGATGCGCTAGATGCGTCCATGGATACCCGATGAACGAAAACGGAACTGGAGAAGTGAAGAAGGGGAGGCAAGAAAGCGCTGCTCTGTATTTTAAACGCTTCTTGACTTTCGCTTCAGGTATACACCTCTCTTCTACGCGGTGTTCAACAAACCAGCTTCGGCTTCGAGAACAGGTCTTCTCAGACCCTCGTTCTTCTTGACCAGACCATCTTACGCACAAACAGCTTGCGTCCGCGAGCTCCTAGAAGCACAAGCCGATCCCAATCGAGTATTCCGCTCGCGCGTTTTCGTTGCACATCCTGATCGACTTCCCTGCAGACAGACGCGCTGGGCATCTCACCTCTTTACCTCGCATGCAATCATGGATACAAGGACATCGTGAAAGTCCTTCACCATCACTCTAAGTGAGCTGCAGACTATCTTCTGCCTGCTGCTCACTTGCAATGCAGGACAAACATCAACTTGCAGATCGGAGAAGATGCCAAGGGAGAGTCTCCTTTAATCCGGGTATCACACTACCACCTTATACCAATTCCTGACCACCCAACCTACTTGCTCTGCTCTGGACTGCTCTTAGCTCCCTTCCTCTTTTACTACTTTGTGCTCATCCCATGCATCTCCTCCACTCCTTTGCCTCTTGTTTTCACCCCCGTGACGCGTTTCTTGCATGGCAGGCCTGCCTCATGGGCTTCGCAGACATAGTCAAGGAGCTGCTGGTCCAGCCTTGCTTCTCTCTCGTACGTGCTAAAGTGGAGCAGGGGGAGCGGCCGAGCGATGGTATCGACGACATGGATGGACCGGGAGCAGACGTCATGATCAGAACGAGGTACTTGGCTGTACTCCCCGAGTTGGAGCTGAGCGGCTAGTGACAGGGAGGGCTTGACGGCGCTGCATGCCGCGGCTACCAAAGGGAACGTGGAGATTGTGAAGGTCTGACCTTGTGGGCGAGAATCTTGCTGACCTCCTTGCAGATGCTCATTGAAGCCGGAGCTCGTCAGGTCCGATGCAGCCACGGCAACCTGCCGGAGGACGTGGCGAAGGTCAGGATGATCCTTGACCAGTGCTCGTGCTCCATCCACTCACTGGGGTTGCTGGCAGAAAAGTGGGCGCGACGACGTCGTTGCCATCCTGCAGTCGATGGCAGCGTACACCAACGAGGCAGGCGCTTGAAGGATTGATTGCATACAAGTACAAGCCCTTCCACCTCTGATCGAAGTTTCCTCCTCCCTGTTGTGAATTTCACCTTCGACCTCGCTGTCTTGCTGGATCAGTCGTAACCCGTCAACTTCTGCTTCCTGTTGCCACCTCACCATCCCATGCCCTCCCCTCCTCTCCTCCCACCCTCCTCCAATCCTCTCCTCCCATCCCCCTCCTCTCCTCTCCTCCCATCCCCTTCCAATCCTCTCCTCCCACCCCCCTCCCATCCTCTCCTCCTATCCTCTCCTCCC